GATTCGTCTCACTCCTCTCGATGGGACTCTTCTCTCTGATGCTACTCTTATCGCCAGCTGGTCGGCATTCTGTCTATCTCACAGTAACTCGTCCTGACATTGCCTATGCTGTTCACATTGTCAGTTCAGTACATGTCGGCTCCGCACTCCCCACTATACTACTCTACTCCGCATCCTTTGCTACCTCAAAGTCACTCTGTTCCATGGCCTTCAACTTCTCTGTTTCCTCATCTCTTGAACTGCGTGTCTTTTCTGATGCTGATTGGGCTGGGGATCCTACGGATCGACGCTCCACCACGGGATTCTGTTTCTTCTTAGGGGATTCTCTTCTTGCTTGGCGTAGCAAAAAACAATCCCTCACTGCCCGCTCTAGCACCGAAGCTGAATACCGAGCTCTTGCTGATACTACTCAGGAACTTCTCTGGCTTCGCTGGCTCCTTGCTGATATGGGTGTTTCTTCTTCTGATCCTACCCCTCTCTATTGTGACAATCAGAGTGCCATTCAGATTGCTCACAATGATGTTTTTCATGATCGCACCAAACATATTGAGATTGATTGTCATTTCATTCGCCAGCATGTTACCTGTGGTACTGTTCGTCTTCTCCCTATCGCTTCCGTCGATCAACCCGCTGATATCTTCACTAAGGCTCATCCTCCTGGCCGCTTCAATGATCTTGTTTCCAAACTCAACTTGGTTGATGCTTTCCCTCCTTGAGTTTGCGGGGGGATGTTAGTGTATGATTGTAATTAATGTTAGTGTATGATTGAATTAGCTTTAGCACTTTAGCTTTAGCATGTTAGTGTATGATGCACTTTCTTTTTTTATATGTAAATTCTTTATGCTTTCGGTGGCCGATGCATCACATTCTCTCTATAAAGAGAGAGCATTCTCTTTGTAAGAAATATACAATAACAGAAACATTTTCAGTGTCTCTCTCTCTCTATCCTCTCTCACTCTCTCAAACTAATATTTCAAATGAGAAGCCCTGTATTTTCCTATTCAACTCTGGGTCAGTATTTTTCAAAAAAAAAAAAACCCTCTGGGTCAGTATGAATTGTCAACTCAGGCCTATTATCATAATTGTAAATGAAAGGATCTTAATGTTGTTGACCCTTGTGTTGTATATCCTTGACACCATACTTTATCTAATTTAAAAAATGTACTTATCGTGTCACATCTGTTTCATATGCTGAAGAGCGGGTATGATATCAAACAAGTTTACTCTATCATGGTTTGGAAGGAGTCTCTCTTTGCAATCTTGCTTCCCGGAAGCAAAGTCAAACAAGTTTGCTCTATCACGATTTGGAAGGAGTCTCTCTCTTCAATCTTGCTTCCCGGAAGCAAAGTCTGCAGATGCTAAGTCTCCTGAGGACAATGATACTAGAATAAGCATTGAATGCTCTGACAAAGAATTATTTAACGAGGACAACATCTCACCACACGAAGTTGACATAAGATTTCACCAGCTTTCCATAGTGGTAAACTCTCTGTTTCAGCTGTGCCACCAGAAATAAGTGATTTATACCCATCGAATTCCGACTCACACAACTCTAATCTTGGTGTTCATGTGCTTCAAATATATTCGAACTTGGCCACTGTTCGGCAAGTGGGAGGAAGTGGTACCCATGTCAATTTAAATCAATCCACAAGACAAATTGATCCTGGCTATTCTCTGATGAGTGGGGAGGCAGATAGCTTTAAATTTTCACTAGCCACAGTGCCTCATTCAGGTGGAATTTCTGGTGAGTTCTTTGAGGATTATTTGGGCTTTTACATGATGAACATTCTTTGTGCATGATTCATATTGGATAAAATGTTTCTTTGACACTGTTTTGCTTTGCGGGAACATTGTTTGTTGGAATGTCAAGCCTAAGAATGTGGGTTCAAGTCTAAGGACCTCTACTTTGTGCAAGTAATGCCAGAAGTTAAAAGTCTGTACCTTCTACCCAATTCATCCTTCCTAGCCACCAACATTGACTAATGGATTTTTAATGTCTTTTGATTTTCTTGTGCAGAATTTAGTTAAGGTTGACTTGTTAATCTGAAAGCAAAAATCTGAATCATACATGCACGGAAAATTATGTTTGTCAATTCAAATCTTTAATACTGTGTTATGGGTAGAAACCTTTATGTCTCTTTGGTATGTATTGCTTGCTCTTGTCTGAAAACTTGACCCTCAGCAATGTATGGACAACCTCAATGGGAAAGATAACTGGAGTGATGAAATTTGTTTTCATGGAGAATGTAAGTAGCAGATAATTCATATATCATATAAGTAGCAGATAATTCCTGCACAAGTGAAGGAAAAAAGATGCGATACTTTATTACCACAGCTTCTTTGGTTGCTTTCTCAAACGAGAAAAAATTGCCCCTTCTTTATTAGAAAGCTGTATATGCTGCCAAGAAGGCTGTGAGAATAGTATTTTCCAGAGATACTTGTTTACTATCAGCAAAATCTATGTTGAATACCAATAAGATTGAGCCACAAATGCAAAACAGTATTGACTTTTTCTTTATCTTTGGTAATAAACAATTATTACAAGGTCTCCTAATATTCATGTGACTTGATCAAGGGGTAACATGGCAGCCACCAACTTTGGGAATCTGGGACTGACATGTTGCATGTCACAGAAAGTTTAGGTTATCACATATTATGCTAGGATATCCGTTCTTGTCAGAAGAACATCAGCCAAATGGAATTTTTTTTTTTTTTTTTTTTTTTGAGAAAAATATAATTGAGCTATCTCTGTCTGCCTTCTATTCTGAGTTCTAAATTCAACTACTAGCCTGGGTGCAAACATGGGTGTTGACGCTTGAATTTTTTCAGGGGAGATAAAAGGCAGTGGTCGTAGAACATATGTCACCCTATATTTAGCTGCCCTCAAAGGTGATTGGGAAATGGCTGAAGATTTTCTGGAATTTAATCCACTAGCACTGCGTGCTCGGATTACAAGGAATTCAGAAACTGCTCTTCATATTGCAGCCGGGGCAAGACACACGAGGTTTGTAGAGAAGCTAGTAAACTTGATGAAACCGGAAGACTTGGCACTTCAGAACAAGGTAGGTAACACAGCACTTTGTTTTGCTGCTGCATCCGGAATCAGACAAATTGCTGAAGTGATGGTGAATAAGTGTAAAACTTTGCCTTCAATTAGAGGTAGTAAACGAGCCTTGCCACTGTATATGGCTGCTTTGTTGGGACATAGAGACATGGTCATGTATCTCTACTCTGTGACGGAAGAAGAAATCATAAATGAGGAAGATCGCATTGGTCTACTTATTGCTACTATCACTGCCAATTTATTTGGTCAGTAACTTTCACCATGCTACAAATTTTATAAAATAAACTAAAATAATAGTAATAATAAATACATAAATAAAACTTTAAACCATGCTAGAGAGATCTTTAACCCCAAGGGTTGGCCGAACAGTAAAGACTTGAGAATAAGATCCGAGGTCTAGAGTTCGAGTCTCCTAAGAGGTCACTGGAAGTTTGCCCGGTCGTTAATATTAGGGCCTCTAGGATTAGTTCTTGGCTATCTAGGTATGAGGTAACTCAGATGCAGTTGAGCTGAGCTGGGCTGGGCGGGAGATACCCTGAATTATCAAAAAAAATGCTAGAGAGATCTTTAGTTGCTGCAAGTAACTTGAAATACAATCATCCATACCGTTCTTTGCCTTCAATTATATACTTTCATCTGCCTGCATGGGTTGGCCTTGTTAGCGTGAGGTCTTGGAATTAACACACAGGCCTGTCTTCAACACCTACCTAAACTAGCCATCCCGTCTTCATAGGCCATCTTGTGTATCCTGATGGGTTGTCTCTTCTGTGCAGGAAATATATATACTATATATATATATATATATCTCTATATGAAAACCACTTTGCTTAAGGTTCGGCTTTTCTTTTCAATTTTACCTTTATTTTGAATTATTTACTAATACTGACCTATATGCTGAGTGAAAGTTTTTTTTGTAATTACGCAAACATTCTTGGTCAATTATGCAATAGGTTTTTTCATAATTACGCAAAGATTCTTGGTCAATTTTGAAATAGGTTTTTTCGTAATTATACAAACATTCTTGATCAATTATTGAACATAATTTTTTTTTTTAGCAAATTACAAATACACCTATAAGGTTTGTTTAAAATAAAAATCGGTCCTGTAATATTAGAAATTACAACTATAGTTTATTATAAATTTTAATTTAACACAATACTTAGTGAAAAAAAAAATTATTTTCCTATGCAATAATAAATTATCAAAATTGTTTATTGAAAAATATTTCTCATATTATTAAAAACCGTTTAATTGACTTAATGATTTATTTATTAACAAAATGGTTAATTGAAAAATATTTTTCATACCATTAAATTTTTTTAATTTACTTAATGATTTACTTATAAATAAAATTGATCATTTGTTATGTGAGTATGATTTATATATTAATAAAATTAGTCATTTGTATATATATGTATTTTCTTCTGCTTCTTTATTAATTCAGTGAATTGTCTTAGTAGTTTTTTTTTAGATGGAAAAATTATCCTAGTATTTGTTTATATTTATCTGTAGAGAAAAGTTACACACCATATATATATATATATATATATATTTTATAAATTTGGAAGGAATACATCATTAGTGTATAACAAATTAAAAAATGATACATATTATACCATATAATTTTATCATATATGTAATGATTTATTCTATTCAATTGTATAGAACAATATTCTAATTTTAAAAAAATTATCAAAACATAAAACTTAAAGGCACTGTAATTATCAAAATATAAATATTACATGTATTTTTAAACATATTGTAATATTCCGATATATATATATATATATATATTATATATATATATGCGCGTGTCTTTTAATCCTCTTATTTGATGGTATGCTGCTTTTTGCTCAATTTAGGGTGATCTTTTTGTTTTTGAAAGATAAGGTAAATAGATGAGCGAGGAGCTTGGGTGTGTGGATTCTATGGAAAAATGCAGATGGGAACCAGCCTCGAAGTTGAGCTTTGGGCATTATATAAAGGACTGACTGTCCTTCTTCAAAAAGGCATCAACAATGTGCTAATCGAAACGGATGCGGCCCAGGTGGTGCAGCTGATGGAGGATCCAATTGCCAGCAACTGCCCTTTCAAAAATTTGGTAGAGGATGCCAACATACTCCTCAATGGCTGCGAGTGCACCATCCAGCATATCTGGAAACAAGGGAACCTGTGTGCGGATGCCTTAGCCAAGCTGGGTGCAAACCAACCAGAGGAAATGCTGGTGGTGAATGAACCACCCGCTGAGTTGAGGAGCTATCTGTTGGGAATTCCAAGGGAAAGGGCCTAGCTTCCCTCTGCGTCTTTCTTTCTTTCCGATGTAACCAAAAAAAGAAAGATAAGGTAAATAGACTCGATCGTGGGTATCTTTATTTGGGAAATGTGACCTAAGCCGTTGAGTGTACCTAAGGCTATGTTTATTTGGGCGGATTGGATTAAGTTGGATTAGTATTCTTATGACTAAGGTCTCTTTTGGCAAGTGGTTATTTTAGTCAAAAAGTCAAAAAATCACTAAAAAAATCAAAAAGTCAACAACTCATACCAAAGAGTTAAACATTCCCTTTTCTCTCTACTTTTTGCATATCTTTCGTAAAAAGTCAAAAATTTATTCCAAACATACTAATGTTTTTTACATCACATTTTAGCTAAAAAGTCAAAAAGTAGGATTATGAATCCTTTGGATTATGTATCCTATCCTATATTTGGATTGAGTTGGGATTATAAGGAGAGATTAATAAAATATTATCCAATCCGATGTTTGTTTAAAGAGATTTGAATGGATAGGACATGACAAGATATGAGACATTCAATATATTGATTATAATACCCCTATTATAATTAATGTAAAATTTTGCACTAAAATGAGTAATAATTTTTAAAAAGCAAATTTTCATATTGTTGCTCCATATCCATTTCGATTCATTTGAACAAAATTTAACCCACTTTTTTTTAATAGAAAAAATAAAAAATAATTCAACTATAAAATTTATATATACATAAGCAACCATTTTAAAAAATACACTGCTATTTTAATCATCTAATCATTCATTGCTCAAATTCAAAAAAGTATTTATTTGAACAAAATTTAACCCCCACTTTTTTTTTAAAAGAAAAAATAAAAAATCATTCAACTATAAAATATATATATATACACAAGCAATCAATAAAAAATATGCCCTGTTATTTTAATCATCCAACCATTCATTGCCCAAATTCAAAAAGGCATTTATTTAAACAAAATTTAACTCTATTTTTTTTCGAACAAAAAAATATCAAAAATCATTCAACTATGAAATTGTAGAAATATAAATCTACCATTCATCATTTCAAAATAAGCATTCCAAGTAGCATATTGCAACATAAAGTAGCAAAATATGAATAGTTCAACAAAAAAAAGTAGCAAAAAGTCAAGTCCTTGTTACATGCATTAGAGTAGTAAAAAAAACTAAATATGTAGAAGGACATAAAAGAGTCACGAGTCTATCATGGAGCACTCCTATGTAGCAACCTCATCACCCATCTTAGTTTGTCATCATGTGTCAAGCTGAAGAACATGTCGAGCTTTTAAGCACTTTGTGATATAATCTCACAAGCATCTAATCTTTCATCAAGAGTAATTGGCAATTTAATGAGTTCATCATTCAAACTTGCCCGTTTAGATGCTAGATCATGTTCATAACCCATTCTTCGACCAATGAAATTTAGCTTTTCATTGGTGGCAAAAATACCTCACCCAACCTGTTAGCAATCATTTACAACCCTTTCACTACATCATCATTGCCTCTAGGCCTCTTCCTGTTGTCATTCTTTTTTGTAGAACTTTTAGGTGGTCGTTGACTTGATGAGCTGGAGCAATTTATTCCCTCGCCGATATGACTACTAATATCCATATGTTCAAGAAATGTGCCATTATCTGCAAGACTATTGAACAACAATTCTTCCTCAGCATTTATAGCATCAACTGCATCAGCAAGCCCTTCAGCAAACTCCCTCGTAGCTCGATCCTTACCAAATATGTGGATCCATGAGTCAAAATATGGAAAAATTTTGTTTCGTAGGTTTTTCGCATCGCTCTCCCTCTACAATAACCAATTTCAATTAATATCTCCAACTTAAGATTAAAAATGAATTAAAAAATTAATAACTTATACAAAGTAACTTAAAAGAAAGTATTTTACCCAAACATATGCTTCCCAGACACTATCACTCTCAACATCAATTCTTTTTTCGGTGTCATTCCATCCAAAACCACTAGTACCAAGCATTCCTACTAGCACAATTGTAGTGCTTCTTTCATATCTTTATCTTTGATTCGATGTGGGGAGTGCCGTGAAGGTTTGTCCTAGGTAGCATCTTCAACAATTTCTCCTCTAATTTCATAAGGTAGCCGGCCTTGAAGGCATTGTCCTGTTTCATTCCATTGTTGACAATGTGCATCAAGGCATTAATAAGACATTCCTCTTCTCGTGGACTTCACAATTGCCTTGGTTTTGATGGATCAACTTTTTCCTTTACTTTTTTACGAGAACTAGACACTTCACTATCCATGCCTAGCAAAGAAGAACAAAGAAAAGTGTGCATGTTAGTCTCCATTATATGAATATCAACCTGTTAACGTGCCAAAACAAGTCAACACATAAATGTATTTCAATAATCAAAAAATTTCATACCCATACATGCATGTAACAAATCCATGAGACAAAAAAAATATCGTCGCTTAAAAAATATGCAATCACCAACAAAAACCATACAATTTTTGCAAAACATGGTTCAACATTCACAAGCTAATACAAGTTCCAAGTACAAATCAAATGAAACTACATCATACTTGTAACAAGTACTTTTACAAATATTGAAACTATCCTTGTCATGCCTCCCTACTAGCCAACCAATTGTTATATAGTTGCATTGCAAGTGTATCCCGCCACCCAGTCCACTCATTAGATGTCTCAACGGTGTCAACAAAATCATCTCCCAATTGAGGTTGATCTTCTATGTCATTATTTAGCCTCTCTTCTATTGGGTCAACCGGCATCTCTCGATGAATGAGGTTGTGTAATAAACAACATGCTGTGATGATACGGTTTTGAGTTCTAATGGGATAGTATGATGCACAACGAAGTATTGCCCATCTTATTTTCAACAAACCAAAACACTTTTCTTTGACATTTCGGGCTGATGCATGTTTTATATTAAAAAATTCTTGATAATTAGTTGGAGTGGCCCCTGCTCTCCAAACAGACAAATAGTATCGTTGGCCCCGATAAGTTGTTAGAAATCCTTGTCCATTTGTATACCCGGCATCTACTAGGTAGTAGTACCCTGTATGAGATGTTATATATTAGAATCTATTATTAAATAAAACTTAGTAATTCCATCAAGCAAAGTTAATTATTTATTAATTAATAGTTGGAATTCTTAAGCCATTGGGTCGATTAATCGCATCTCTAAAAACCCTAGAGTCTACAGCTGACCCTTTCCATTAGTACACGAACTTTAATATAGGTTCCATCAAATGCTCCAAGACAATTCTAATACATAGAAGACATTGTAATAATTATGAGTTGTAAAAAAAAATGTGTAATGTATTTTATTAAATGTTTTACAAACTACATTTACCTGGAAGCAATTCCACCTTGGATCAGTGCATGCTTGTGTTATAGGATTTGGTGTCCTAAGTAAATGGCCTTGAAGGCACAACACAGCTTTTAGGACATCATTGAAATGTCGACTTACAGTCTCTCCGGACCTAAAGAAATTGAACTTAAGTTTTCGTACTTGCAGGCCATGTGCCAAGATGTAGAGGAACAAGGCCATCTTCTCTTCTAAGGTAACATGTTTTGAATGCCCCAACCCGCCTATTGTATGAACCATATGGCATAACGTCATAAAACAACACCTATCCATATGAAGTTGTTCAATGCATGTAATGTCGCCTGTTGTACGATTAATGTGGTCCATTTGTTCTTGCAATCGATTGGGCCCTTGAATAACGGTACGAGGATACTTATGAATGTACCTCTTCAAGACAATTTCAATGGCAATATATGCTACAACGCATAAGGTGTACAATTCTTGCATTACAACTTGCAACACTACGTATAGCTCAAGCTTCTCATTACACTCATCTCCAAAACCATCGAAATTGTACCCCATCTATGCAAATAGTGATGCACATCAATATATTAGAGTACAAGAAAACTTCATAATTCCAAAAAAAATTAACAAAACAAAAAAAATAAAATAATGTAGAACATATGAGCATAACAATCTCTATAAATATATTCTTAAACTGGGTTGTTTAAACTGTCTACAAATCATTCACAAACATCAAAGTTACATCAAATTGAAAATTTTAACATATTCACAAGCCCAACACTTGAATTTCTATACATATCACTGAATACTTCCCATAATACTAATTATAATTATAATTATTGATTTATAATTATTTTATTTGTTTCTTATTTATCTCATATTCACTCTAGTTCTTTTTATATTATAGGCCTTTAGATTGTAGAATGAATGATATTAATTTGTAAATTCTAACAGTAGGCTGTAAAAAAATCTGATTTTCTAATTTAAAAAGTCTAACAATACTACCAGCAAGCCTAACACCAACAACCAACGGCCCCATAATGGGAAAAAAACAAACAACTAAAGAAAGGCTCTTTAATAAGGATGAAATAATTACTTTTTGCCTTTGACAAAGATTGACATCATAGCCTCTCAATTGAGAGTATACAAGAGTGGCCAATTGAGCTAGTCCAGTTGGTTAAACTAGTTTAGCTTAACCTCGGACAAATTTCCACAAATTAAATGATTTACTTCTGTTGCAACTTCACTATGATCTTTGATTTAAAGCATGCCCTAAAGTCCTTTAATAAGGAGCACAAGGCTTTTTAATAAGGAGCATTAGGCTCTTTAATAAGGAGCACAAGGCCTTAATGCTTGAAGGAGAGAAGTGGATAAAGGATACTGCTTCGTCATGCATGGTGGTTGTGACTCTCATTGCCGCAGTGATGTTTGCAACCGCCTTCACTGTGCCAAGCAGCAATAACAACAACACTGGCCAGCCAATCCTTTTAACAGAAAAGTCCTTCATGGTTTTTGCAATTTCAGATGCGCTAGCATTATTCTCATCCACCACTTCATTACTGATCTTCTTATCAATCCTCACCTCCCGCTATGCTGAAGAAAATTTTCTTGACTCGTTGCCTAGTAAGTTAATCCTAGGGCTTGCGAACCTCTTTATCTCCATTGCCACCATGATGACATCTTTTTGTGCCACCCTTATTATTGTTCTTGACGGGAAATTGTCATGGGTTGCTATTCCAATGGTGGTAGTCGCCTACATTCCTGCAACTCTGTTTGCATTGTTACAATTTTCGTTTCTTTGTGGATTTGGTGAGTCATACCTACAGGTCTGGCATGATCTTTGTTGGGGATCGAGGGCACACCAGGAAACACAAACAAGCAATAACACAAGAGTTTTAGCGTGGTTTGACAAGTCGCCTACGTCCAGGGGCAGCGAATTTCACTATATGGAGAGAAATGAAAGAATTACAAAAGAGACAATACACTCTGATAGTTTTTCTCTATTCAACTCTTCCCTTGACCTCTCTATTTATACACTCAACAGAAGGTGGAGAGGTGCATGGCTAGCCTGTTCCTTCACAAAAGTGGCTGTCCACCTTTGTGACTTGTCGGTTGGCAAGCTGTGTTGTTGGTTGGCAAGCTGTGTTGCTGTGTTGGCTTCATATGGAGAAGAGATTACTCCTCACATGGGGTGATCTCCAACAAATTACCCCTTCAACCCATGTGAGTAGTTTGGCTAAATCTTTAGCCCAATCTTCAACAAATCTACACCTTGGCAAGGATTCTCTTATCTAACATAGTGATCGATCAACACTGTCATGCACCTGAAAGTGCTCAGCTCCGAGAGATGTTGACCAAGTCCAAACAGTGTTGGAACTTGATCCCAGTAACCACTTTTGTGAGCATATCGGCTGGATTATCTGCAGTACTAATCTTCTGAAGCAGAATATCCCCTTAATTCACAAATTCTCAGATGAAATGGAAACGAACATCAATGTGCTTGGTGCGGGAATGATGAACCTGGTTCTTTGCCAAACAAATGGCACTCTGACTGTCACAGTACACCTCAACGTGCTTCTAAACAATACACAAGTCCTCAATCAACCCGTGTAGCCAAATAGCTTCCTTAAAGGCTTCCGTCACTGCCATGTACTCTGTTTCTGTAGTAGACAAAGCCACTATTGACTGAAGCGTTGACCTCCAATTCACCGGCCCTTTAGCAAGCGTAAATAAATACCCTGTTGTTGATTGGCATTTGTCCAAGTCACCAGCATAATTTGAGTCCACATATCCAACCAAATTCTATCTGAGTCGGTTATCTTTCTCGAACTTCAATCCCAGATTAACCGTGCCATGTATGTACCTTAGGATCCATTTCACTTTCTGCTAGTGATCTTTTCCTGAATCATGCATATACCTGCTTACCATACTCACAGCATGTGAGATGTCAGGCCTTGTACAAACCATAACATACATTAATGCACCAACTGCATTTGCATATGGAACTTGTGTCATATGCTTCCGTTCTTCTTCTGTGCGTGGAGACATCGATGCACTAAGCTTGAAATGAGGGGCCAATGGTGTACTCACAGCTTTTGTTTTCCCATTTATGCCAAATCTGTCTAACACTTTTTTCAAATATTGAGTTTGTGTCAAATGAACCGTGCCCTTCTTCCTGTCTCTCTTGATCTCCATGCCAAGAATTTTCTTTGCTTCTCCCAAATCCTTCATTTCAAACTCTCTTGCTAACTGTGTCTTGAGTTTGTCAATCTCCTCATTGCTCTTTGATGCAATTAACATATCATCTACATATAAGAGCAAATAGATGAAGGACCCATTTGGAAGCTTACGGAAATATACACAATGATCAAATTGACTTCTTGTGTATTCTTTCTCTATCATGAACCGATCAAATCTTTTGTACCACTGTCTCGGGGATTGCTTCAATCCGTACAACGATTTGTTCAGCTTACAGGCCCAATTCTCTTTTCCAGCAACTTTGAAACCATTTGGCTGGGACATGTATATCTCCTCTTCAAGATCTCCATGTAAAAAGGCAGTTTTGACATCGAGTTGGGCGAGCTCGAGATCAAACTGTGCAACCAAAGCTAGCGAGATACGAATAGAAGTGTGCTTCACAACAGGTAAGAATACCTCATTGTAGTCT